CCAGAAGGGCTTGGGTTCAAAGGTGAACTTGAATACTGCTTTTTATCCTCAGATAGATGGTCAAGCAGAGTGCACTATTCAGACATTAGAATATATGTTGAGGGCCCGTGTGATTGATTTCAAGGGTAATTGGGATGATCACCTACCTCTCATTGAGTTTGCCTGCAACAATAGTTACCATTCTAGCATCCAAATGGCTCCTTATGAAGCTCTTTATGGGAGAAGATACAAATCTCATATTGGATGGTTTGAAGTTGGTGAAGCTGGGTTGATAGGACCAAACCTAGTTCATTAAGCTATGGACAAAGTGAAAGTTATTCAAGAGAGGTTGAAAACAACGCAGAGTCGTCAGAAATCCTATACAAATGTTAAAAGAATGGACTTAGAGTTTGAAGTAAATGATTTGGTTTACTTGAAGGTTTCACCCATGAAGGGTGTTTATGAGATTTGGTAAGAAAGGTAAACTTAGTCCCGGGTATTTTGGTCCTTACAGAATATCCAAGAGGATTGACAATATAGCTTATGAGTTAGAGCTACCACAAGAGTTAGCAGCAGTTCATCCAGTATTTCACATCTCCATGTTGAAAAAGTGCATGGGCGATCCTTCACTTATCATACCTAAATATATTGGTATCAATGGCATCTTATCTTATGAGGATATTCCTGTTCAGATCCTAGACCGCTTTCTCAAGTTGAGAACTAAAGAAGCTTTATCAGTCAAAGTTCTGTGGAGAAATCAGTTTGTTGAGGAAGCTACTTGGGAAGCTAAGGAGGATATGAAGAAGAGATACCCACATCTCTTCGAATCCGGAGAAGTTCCAAATTAAGGTATACTAATCTTTTTCTTAGCTTTTATTTTAAGTTGGCATGTTGTATTTACATTTTGCTTGTTGGGTATTTGAGCTAGGTGTTAGGTGTTACGCCTTAGCCTACTAGGAGTAATCTCATTCGAGGATGAATGTTTCCAAAGGGGAGATATTGTAACACCCCGCTACTAGAAAGACTTAGAATTAGAAAGAAACCGTTTTTAGAAATAATCAAATTTGGAAAGTTTGACAAAATTAAGCTAAGTATGAGTTTTGGATCAACTTCAAACAACCATAACTCCTAGCTCAAGATGATTTAGGTGTGCTAAAAGATACCGTAGGAAATATCTTTGAATTATCTTTCCAACGCCACCAAGTTTTATCAATTTTGAGTTTGTATGAGGGAGATATGTTCATTTGAAGTTGGGTTGTCAAGATAAGGAAAGTCAAAACCAAATTTTTGAAGGGTATTATGGTCTTTTCACTAACCAACTAATTAAATTCATTTTTGGTAATTAAGTTGGGGTCTAAACTGATTGTATTCAGTTTACGCTTCATAAAAATAAGTTGGGGTTTTGAGAGAAGAGAAGAGAAGAGGAGAAGAAGCTTAGAATCGTCGCGTTCTTGAAGATTTGCTTCTGGATTTCGCCAAGGGTTGATCCCTACGAGGTATGTGAGATTACATAGCATTGGGTTTGTTCGACCACACACCAATCATGATTTAATTCAGCGAAACTGTGTTCTTAAAAGTATCGAAATTGAGTTCTTGATGGGTTTTGTTGAAGTTCTATTGGCTTCTTGATTTGTTGAAGTTGTTGAGAAGTTCTTGAGTTAAATTCATGAGAATCAATGTTGTTTTGAGTAGATTCTTGCATATTTTGGTTGTGTATTCAAATCTAAGTGTTTGGGTAAAGAACCAATCAAATCTAGAGGGTTTAGAGTTGAAAAACGAACAAGGGAATTCGTCAAAAATCTGGGGAACAGGTCTGGGGCGCCGCGCCACTCAGAGCGCCCCAAAGCAGAGTCTGTAGTTTGGGCTCTGGGGTGCCATGCCAACCAGTCCTCCCCAACCCAGACTCTGTAGTTTTTCGTCTGGCGCCCTGCACCACTCAGAGCGCCAGGAACGCCAGGTCTTCTACCCTTTCCTACTTTTTTCCGTTTGAGTTCCCTTGAAACGTACCTATGTTTGCTAGTTGATTTCTACGCTCTAAGGTACATCTAAACAACATGAAATCATTCATAACATGAGATAATGAGCCTTGAATCCATAATTCAATTCAAGGAAAGTTAAGAGTCAAGTCATGAGAAGTTCATAGAGTCTTCTAAAGAGTATATCGGGACTATGTATTCTCAAAGAGTAAATATTTTCACATTTAAACAAGAAAGGAAACACTGATTTCCAACAGAGCCTATGAGCTAGTTTTCAGTAAAGAACAAATGCTTTCACAATTAAGCAAGAGAGGAAACTTTGATTTCCAAGAGAGACTTTGAGTTAAGTTTTGAGCAATTATCTCAAACCACTGAAAGAAGTTATGTTTTTAAACATATGAGCTAGTATATTTTGGGAGTAGTATTGAGCACCGATATGAGGGAGAGTTCAGAAAACTCCCAGCCCCCATAAACCCTGTAGCCATCATGGGTAGAAAAGTATCATACTTTTTAGATGATTCCTTAGTGCCTTTTAGCATAAACTAGTGGATCCACTTAGTAGTCAGGTTCTATACCCCTGACAAGGTATAGGGCGACCCTGGCAGTGTGAGGCAAAACGTTGTATCATCATATAACTCTTAAGTGATGGTTGTCGGTTAGAGAAACTCCCACAAAAGTATTTTGTATTCTTATATAAACAGAGTTAGTTGTATTTTTTATATACATTCAGAGTTTTCATTGTATCCTTGCATACATACAACGTTACTATTGTATTTCTAAATACAAAGAGTTGTTATCCATGTTTTAAAGCTTTTCTTTATCCTGCATTTATTATACTGCTTTATATTGAAATGAGTTTAGTTGAGATGAGTTGAGACCAGGTTTGTTCTTTCAGTTCCCCTTTCAAGCTTATGTGTTGTTTTAGTATTCCCCTCGCATGCTCGTACATTCAATGTATTGATGTCATTTGGCCTGCATCATTTTATGATGCAGATACAGGTAACCAGGATCATCATTCAACGCTTCGTTGATCCAATCGAGCATTCAGAGTCTTGTGGCGAGCCTCCTTGCTTTCCGGAGGGTCCCTATTTACATTACTCTAGTAGTTTTCAGTTGTTAGGATGATCAGGGGTCTTGTACCGACATCCCTCATAGTTTAGAGGCTTCATAGACAGTTAGATAGTTCTTTTGTCATTATCTTGTTATTGGCTTATGTTGAATCTTGAGTTGCTTCTTTGGCTAAGTTGAATGTTATTTCTAAACATTCTCAGTTATCTATTCAGACAGTTTATTTAAGATTGTATTTAAGTACATTTACTGTTGAGTATATATATATATATATATATATATATATATATTAGTGTATTCCTCAATGTATCCTCAATGTATACTCACTGATTGTACCTGAGTGTATATTGACTATATACACTATACACTCTGGATACATCATGCATCCAATATGGGACTCAAAAAAACGAATTTAAAAAATAGTAGATAGTAAGTTCTCACAAGTTGTCAAAGTTGTACTCCTTTTGTCCCAATTTATACCGACACTTTTTATTTTTTGAGATTCAAACAGTTTAAATTTGATAGTAAATTTGCGCATGAAAACTTCAAATATTTTAAAATGAAATATATATATTTATAAACCAAGTAAAAAATAACATAAGTCACAATAAATGATAGTTCAAAATATTCAAAGAATATATGAAAAATTTACACATAAATTGAGACGGAGGAATTGACATCTTTTGGTCTGAAATTTTCAATTGTATCTGATTGGCCTATTGGGTGATGCTCTCACCTATATAAGGAATGTTTTGGTTCTCATTTTATACACACCAAAAGAAAGAGAGCAAATAGAGAGTATAGTCCACAAATTATTTAGTCTGTGGAAAAATAGAGTGGGGTTAATATTGAACCATCCAAATTTCATTAGTTCAAATCTGAAATAAAATATGTTAAGAAACATAAATTATGAAAAAGTTTTAACAAATACTTGTAAACTACATTATACTCCTTTGGTTCCCTTGTGCTTGTCCCAATTGAACTTCACACATCTATTAAAAAAATATTGATTAATATGACTATTTTACTACACTGCCCCTATTAAATGATATTTGGTATTAGGTTTTGAAAAATAATTTGAGGAATAAATAATTAATGCTAAGGTAAAACATGAAATTTTTTTTATCGTTTCTTGATATATTAAAAGTGACAAGTAAAAATGAAAATCTATTTTTAGAATAGTTGACAAGTAAAAGTGAGCAACCATGAGGTCTTTTCATGTTTAAATCCCAACAAAAATAAAAATATTAGGTGAACTTTCTCATCCGATAATCTTTTTTCCTTATAGGGTTAATAGGAAAAGGTCTAACTAGCTGACACTAGACGATTACACCATATCAATTGTTACCTAAAATGTGATTTTTCGTTATTATATAACAATTGATTTAACAATACGATATAATAAAATTTAAGTAACAATCACAATATTTTAACTAACAAGAGAATACATGTAACAACCATCCAAATAAGTTGTTAGTGTTGTTAAGAAGTATTGGCAAATCGCAATCAAATTAACCTGTACAGTTGGGAAGAAATATAATGCAAATTTAAGACGTTTTAAACGACCTAAACACAGTCATTAACTATATAATTTAATGAAGTGTAAAATTGTAACCTCTCCAAGTGGACAGTTAGTAAGTATTTAGTACTATTCTTGTTAAATGCCTGAAAAAACAGATATTTATATTGGATTCATAATTTTTATTTTGTGGGTCTTGAATTATACTTATTTTATGCCATTAGATTTTGAATTAATTATTTATAAATATTAAGCAATTTCTTAATACAATTACAAGTTTGAGTCAACATTAAGAAAAATCATTTTATATATATATATAAACTATTTCATTTATCTTTAAAATATCTTGAATTATCAATTCTGAATTGTACCAAATAAATTAAAATAAAGAGAGTAATGTTTTTTTTAAAAAACGAAAACTGAGTTTTCAATACCGTCCCATGCCCACCCCTACCTTCATCCCTTGCGGCATCTAGTGTGGTATAAATAAATGGTATGTGAAGAAACGTGAAAAACTTTTATTTCTGACAATTTTTAAGTAATTCATAAATCATATGTATGTACAATATTACCTCTCACTTTTTTCTTTTCAGAAAAAGTTTGTGATATGTAAACAATCTTTCCCTTATTTTTAGATCTCAACAAAATCTAACTCTATATGACACACACAACAACACTCATATTAAAGAGGTATTTTTCTTCAAGATTTGATTAGTAGAGTAGAGCCATGGGTTGGAATTTCTTTACTATCTTCATTGTGCTACTTTTTCATCACTCAAATGCAAATTCAAAGCAGAGTTGCAACTTTTTCGAAGGAAGTTGGATTGAAGATGAAACTTATCCTCTCTACAATTCAACTCAATGTCCATTCATTGAACATGAATTTAATTGTCAAAGGAATGGCCGTCCTGACCAAGATTATCTCAAGTATAGATGGCAACCACATGGATGCTCCTTACAAAGGTAACTCTAATAACTCACCAGTCGTTGAATTGCTCGTAGCTAACATAATATTGTGTTGTGAATTTATTTATCATTAAATAGAATTGACTAGAAAATTTGTGTTTTTTTTCTTTACTAGTGTATGAGTTTTGACATGAAACTTGTAAATAATGTTATTTGATTCTTGGTTTTGAATCTTTCTAAGTCTAAAAATGTTTAATTATAATCTATGTTGAAATGTGCAATGATTTATGAAAGTGATGGAGGCTAGAGGTTAGATTGATGGAGGAGTGTCCGTGAGCCTTGAAACAAAGGTTCGCTTGGTAGCTGATTTGAAAGTGAGTTATTCAAGTATTAAATTCAGAATCAGTTTGATAGCTAATTAAGAAATAAATTATTATTCATATAAAAATCAATATGGTGTTTGATTTGCAATTTTAAAATCCGTATAACTAACATAATTTTATACATACATAAGTCATAAAAAAATCAATGTACTATTTTATACGAGATGAAATCACTAACACATGTATTATTAATACTACAAAAAGCTAACAAATGAGCTTGAATGCTTATAAATAGTATGGTGACCCGTGACCACCCCCAGAAAAGTGGCAGCTTTAATAATGATTTCTCAATGGGGAATCTCGAACACAATGATACATACATTTATGTAATTAATTTACATATGTAATAAACGTTTGTGAATACACAAGTCAAAAGTATCTAATATAAACACATTAATTATTATGTTTAGGTGCTGAATTGAAATATATTGTTAGAGTTGTTGATGTATTCAATCAAAAGAAAAACATTTTTTAAGAGAGAAGAAACCAATTAAGATCTTGACCACTTGATGAAGATCTATACATGATCTGTTTAAAGTAGGTTTTAGATCTCTAAATCAAATTAAACTTGGCATATTTTAGTCAATTATATTGGAGATTACCACAAAAGTAACATATCTGAACATAGGTCCCCCCCCCCCCCTCTTCATGTACTAATAAGAAAATACTACAAAAAAATTGTTTTTTGTGAAGGGGCCACACTGTAGGGTGTCTAGGATGTGTGTTTTGTTGTGTTTTAAAAGGTGTGAATGGAAAATGAAGAGTTGCGACTTTTATGAAGAGTTGTAAATTTTATGAAAAGTTGCGACTTTTATGAAGAGTTGCGACTTTAATGAAAAGTTGTGACTTTTATGAAAGGTTGTAAAGATTGTGACCTTTCCAAAGGTTGTGACCTTTCCGGTAAGTCACAATAAGAACTTTTTCACACTACCCTTTGTTTTCTATAAATTGAGGGATTTCCTCTCATTATAGTTGAACGAATTTTTCTGGACTTCTTCTACTACTACTAAATCTAGTATTCTAAGTGTACTTTACTGCCGTTGAGTGGTTCGCTGACACCGTGATTTTAGGTACAGATACACTGGTGAGTAAGATCGTTCTATCCCGAGAGGATATATTCCATTAACCTCGGGTACTTGAGGGGAATAATTTCCTTAAGGGGACACTGTGCATTCAGTGGACTCTATTTTCTTTCTTTGAGAAAAATAGTTTTATATTGTTTCTAATTTGTTTCTAATTCTATTTTTTTCTACTAGTTTTAATTTTCTAATTTGAAAATACTCTTTAAATTTTATTGTTTCTTACCAAGTTCTTTAAAGTTTTGTTTTAAGTATCTTAGGAATATAAGATGAACAACATGTTTTATGTCTTTCAACACTTGCTTTTATAAGGTGTAGGGTCCCTCTCACTTCTTTTTCTTTGATTTCCAGTTGTAAAATAATCATTTCATTATGGTGGATAAACTGTCACTATAAACTTTATTAGACCTTGTACAATGATGTGTTATTTAAACAGACAATAATCATTTCTTCTTTATGCTTTGGAGAGTTTGGTACATGGAATATGATAATCAAGGATATTCCATGAGTTGAGATATCAGATGACATTATTTTATCCTACCTTTTATAATGGATAGTAATGATACCATTTTAGTACAAATAATGTGATAAGATAAGCAACTAAATTGTACTTACAAAGTATGAAAATGCGCCATGTTACTTGGTGATATCTTGTCAAATAATTAAATTATAGTATCATAATTCATAAATTTCAAATTCCGTATGCAGATTTGATGGAGGGGCATTGTTGGAGAAATTGAAAGGGAAAAGCATAATGTTTGTGGGAGATTCCCTAAGCCGAAACCAGTGGCAATCACTTGTATGTCTTCTTTATACATCACTCCCTAACACCAAATACAACGCAACCAGAGTTGGTGATGTCTCTTTATTCACTTTCTTGGTACGTATGTACGTAATTTCTATATCATTTTAATTCCCTTGATATATACATACACCATTTGAGTTTGTACATATTTCAGGATTTTGAACTTGACGTGATGTTGGATCGAAGTGTGTATTTAGTGGACGTTGTGAGGGAAGAAAGGGGAAGAGTATTAAAATTAGACTCAATTGAAGGTGGCAAGTTGTGGAAAGGAATTGACATGCTCATTTTCAACACTTGGCATTGGTGGAACCGCAGAGGAACCACTCAACCGTTAGCTCTAACTACTTTTTTGGCACAACTTTTTTTCAAATTTCATATTTTTTAGCTAACCTACTACATGAAAGTAATCGTTAAAAAACATATCAATATATTGATTTTGTCACCTTTTATATTTTGTAGATGGGATTACATTGAAATAGGAGGTCAATATTATAAAGACATGGATCGTGTTGTTGCTTTTGAGAGAGCTTTATTTACATGGGCTAAATGGATTGACACCAACATTAATCCTGCAAAAACTATAGTGTTCTTTCAAGGAATTTCCCCATCTCATTACAAGTAAGTTCGATATATGACTTTATTTTCTAAGTATTGTCACATGGATATTATGTAGGTTACTCAAATAAAAATCGGACTATATATATTTTTAGGATACAATATAAAAAAGAGAAAATTTCATAAATAGCAAAGAGATTAAACTTAATCACACTCCGATCCATAGCTACAATTTGCTTAATTACGTTTAATATCTATAGTTTTGTTTGCTATGAGAATTTCCGTTTGTATATTTAGCTTCCAATATACAAACATGGTAGGTATATTCAAATTATGTATTTATACATTTAGGAATTTTTCAAAACTTTGTTTGTATATTTCTCTTGTCATAGGAATTTTTCAGAACTCTATTTGTATATTTCGCTTGCCAATATACAAACATAGTAATTTATTATGAATTATTCGTAACTTATACAAATCAAATGTATCAACAAATCATATACAAATAGCTAGGGTAAGCATATACAAAATCTGAATTTATACAATCAGAAATCGATTTATACAAATTCTAGATTTATAGCAAAATTTAAGAAACTGTAGTCACTAATCATAAATATCTGAAACTATAATAACTATGGAGCCTAATATACTATAAATATTTGTCATTTCACGTAATTTTTCCTATAAGAAGAAAAGATCAACATGTTTATATATATATATAGACATGGTTAAGTTGTTACAAAAATTAGTTTTGCGACCTTATTAGTAAACAATAAATTGGAAGTTAAATGACCATTATCCTATGTGACTATATTATGTTAACGATTCGAATTTCATTCATCATTCTACTTGATCATTCGCGTTAATTTTTACCTTGGTTTTTACCTTGGTGAAACCAACAGTGGTACCGATTGGAATCAACCAGGGGTGAAAACTTGCTTAAGGCAAATGCAACCAATAAGTGGTTCAACATATCCAGGAGGGTTACCCCCAGCATTGAGAATTTTGAAGAAAGTATTGTACACAATTGAGAAGCAAGTGACATTGCTTGATGTCACAAATCTTTGCTTATTGCGTAAAGATGGACATCCTTCAATTTATGGGCTAAGTGGAATGGATTGTAGTCATTGGTGTTTAGCTGGAGTTCCTGATATTTGGAATGAAATACTATATAACTTTATAGTAACAACGTAACTGGTAAAATTATTTTTATGTTACCTGATTTGAATTGTGAAAGCAACCTCCTATAGAATTGATCTTTGTGATCCAAATCTTTTCCTAGTGCACGGATGATTAGAGAAAAGAATAATTACTTAATTGAACACATTCATTATGTAGTTCTATTTCATTAATTGTTACTTCAATCTTCAATAATCACTTTTAGTTTAGTGTGTATCACATTTAGTAATAAATATCCAATAAAGATATGAATGAATATCTATGTCTTCTATTAAGTTCCATTAATCTCGCAAAAGAATTTTGCGAATTAACAGACCTAGTGTTCCAAAAAATCATCTTTGTATTCATTGATTACTACTTGTTCCTCTGTCCTTGCTTCTCCGATCCTTGTACACCATTTTACATCCATATATATTAACATTATTTTTAACAACATTTATAATAATATTCACAATCTTAATTATTCGTTGTTCTTATGATAATATATTTCTCTATTAAAAAATTACATTTTATAAATACAATTTTTATTAGAATATAATATAAGTTGAATGTATTTGCCTAATTCTTATGTTTATTTATATTTTGATTTCTCTCAAAATGTTCACTCCACTACTAAATTTTATATTTTTAATTAAATAGTATTATTCACTTAAAAATTATATTTTATATATAAATTAAAATGTAGATAACTTTAATCATAAATTTTCTTTCTTTTAATAAACTTAAAATGGAAGTTTTATTTTTAAGCTAAATAAGATGAAGGTGTTATTTTTAAACTAAATAAGGTGAAATTTTTATTTTTAAGCTAAATAAGATGAAAAATTTATTTTTAAGCTAAACAAGATGGAAGTTCTATTTTAAGTTAAATAAGATGAAAGTTTAATTTTAAAAACACATGGCACAATCATGGAAATGCATACCCAAAAATATTTAAGCTATATAAGATGGAAAATTTTATTTTTAAGAATGAATAACTAGTGCAAAGAAAATGTAAAAAAAAAAAAAAACTAAATAAGGTGGAGGATATTTTTGTAAACAAACAACTTATTCTTAGAAATTATGCAATGAATATAAGTTTGAATATGACAAACCAAACAAGCAACAAAAATTAATCACACCATAACTAATCCTAGCATAACTAATCTCAGCATAACTTATCCCAGTATAACTTATCCCAACATAACTAATCACAACAAAACTTGTATTTAAACCAAACGACCCCTTAGTGTTGTTAATGCTACATGTTAAGCCTCTTTCTTAGCGGGGATGAAAAGAGGGATGTGGCCAGAGGTGGATCTAGGATTTGGAGGTCCTGGGTGCCACACCATTCAAGTAAGATAAACGGATCGATTGCTTTAATTTTGGTTACAATTCGGGTTATTATCTTTTTCGATTTCTATAAACAAATCGATCAAACATGCATGTTAGTAATATTTGATTTTAGATATTCTGTGATGAGAGATAACGAAACAATTCATTTTTTTTAGGAATTAAAGGCCTTATTCACTTAGACTTTGAGGGAAAATGAATTTTTTTCAAATTAAAATTTGAGCCTGTATAAACCATGTTATAGTGTTAACTTAATATATTCATATTCCATTGACTTTATGTGTTGATGTAGATATATTGTAGAGAGAATAAAATTGTAGTTTCAACCTAGTCATCTTACTAATTAGCAAGAATGTCGGTGAAGATCGAAAGAACCTTTAAATTGAAAGAACTCTAGCAATAATATTCATCATTTTTAAAACTTATATTTTTAAAAAACTACTATTTAAATACATTCTTAATAATTTTTTTGTGATATTGATAATTCAGTATTCATTAACTGATAAAGAATAAACACGCGACACTCATATCAAGAGATTAATAATTAGTGAAAGTGAAAGTTAAAAAAAATTAAGAATTAACTACGGTGAAAAGGAGTCAATTTGAAATTAATATAGTATAGTAAATAAATAAGAATGAATGGAAGAAAAAAAACTAAAGCCCTTCGCACATTAATAATAAAAAAAAAGACAAAAAAAAAAAGAAAACAAAAAAAGAAACTTCACTACGCACAAACCAAGCAAAAAAACAAGGGCAAATTACAGAAATCATATATTTTTAAGGCAAAATTACAATATATCCCTCAAATTTTATAGTTACAGAAATTGCTCAAACGGATACAATAATATAAGCGTTGATACATTAATCTGATGCGCGAGATACATTAATCGTTAAGTAAGATACATTACATTTTATACATGATACACTAATATGATGTATATTTTTATACATGATACACTAATCTGATGCGCGAAAATGAGGGATTTTGGAGATTTATAAAATTTATAGGGAAATAATGGTAATAAGTAAACTAAAATGTGGGATTTCTGTAATTTTTCCAAAAAATAATGCTAGTAGTGAGGTTCAAACTTGCATTGCACGTGTAACATATCATGCCCTTTTACCAATTGAACCATTTATCATTTCATTCGGTGGGTGGCAAAGTTAATATATATTAACTTATGATACATATATACATATATATACATACAACAATTTTTCCGAAATCACTGGGTGCCGTGGTACTCCAACCCGTACCCTTAGATCCGTGTGTGGCATATTGTTTAAGATATAACCCATGAAGGGTGCCATGGGTTGATCGATCATTTTGAGATCTTGCAGCTCATCAATGAGGTTGATTGTGAGTTGATTTTACGTCCAGGTCTTTCTAGGGTTCACCCTGTTTTTCATGTGTAGATGTTGAAAAGAAATATCACTTGGATGGTTCCTATGTGATTTAATGGGAGTGGGTACAGTTGGATCAAAATTTAACCTTTAAGGAGGAGCCTATAATTATTTTGTATGAGTAGATTTAGAAGTTGAAGTCCAAAAGGATAACATTTATGAAAGTGTTGTGTGAAGATCATCTAGTGGCAAAGGTCACTTAGGAGATTGAGCTGAACATTCAGACCTAATGTTCCAAAAAATCATCTTTGTATTAGTTGATTACTACTTGTTCCTCTGTCCTTGCTTCTCCTTGTACGGCAATTTACATCCATGTATATTAACATTATTTTTAACAACATTTATAATAATATGCACAACCTTAATTATTCGTTGTTCTTATGATAATATATTTCTCTATTAAAAAAATTACATTTTATAAATACAATTTTTATTTATGAATATAATATAAGTTGAGTATATTTGCCTAATTCTTATGTTTATTTATATTTTGATTTCTCTCAAAATGTTCACTTCACTACTAAATTTTATATTTTTAATTAAATAGCTTATTCCTCACTTAAAAATTATATTTTATATATAAATTAAAATGTAGATAACTTTAATCATAAATTTTCTTTTACTTTTAATAAGCTTAAAATGTAAGTTTTATTTTTAAGCTAAATAAGATGAAAGTTTTATTTTTAAACTAAATAAGGTGAAAGTTTTATTTTTAAGCTAAATAAGATGAAAATTTTATTTTTAAGCTAAATAAGATGGAAGTTCTATTTTAAGTTAAATAAGATAAAAGTTTAATTTTAAAAACACACGGCACAATCATGGAAATGCATACCCAAAAATATTTAAGCTAAATAAGATGAAAATTTTTATTTTTAAGAATGAATAACTAAAACTGCAAAGAAAATGTAAAAAACAAAAAAACAAAATAAGGTGGAGGGTATTTTTGTAAACAAACAACTTATTCTTAAAAATTATGCAATGAATATAAGTTTGAATATGACAAACCAAACAAGCAACAAAAACAGCATAACTAATCTCAGCATAACTTGTATTTAAACCAAAAGACCCCTTAGTGTTGTTAATGCTACATGTTAAGCCTCTTTCTTAGTGGTGATGAAAAGAGGGGTGTGGCATATTGTTTAAGATATAACCCATGAAGGGTGCCATGGGTTGATCGATCATTGTGAGATTTTGCAGCTCATCAATGAGGTTGATTGTGAGATGATTTTACGTCCAGGTCTTTCTAGGGTTCACCCTGTTTTTCAAGTGCAGATGTTGAAAAGAAATATCATTTGGATGGTTCCTATGTGATTTAATGGGAGTCGGTACAGTTGGATCAAAATTTAACCTTTAAGGAGGAGCCTATAATTATTTTGGATGAGTAGACAACTCCGAAAAGTTGATTCTGTCAATAAGTTAGAAATGTGTTTTGTGATTGATTTATGTTGGGAATATTCTAAACGAGTTTCGAGTATCTATATCAAGACTTGGGCTATATTGATAATGTATGGTTTTCCGTCATTTGGTTCCATCTCACTTATGGTCTACATATCACATCGGCAAAGCCGTAGAAGCCTGAGGGATTCCACACCGGCAAAGAAGGCTGGGGTTGAGGGTGGCCTCTTCTGCGGAGCTTTCTCACGTCAGGAACTTTGAGGATTCATTAGCATCGGTAAATTTTTAACCTTTCATATGATTTTTCTTCTTCGACTTATTATTTATTTCATCGATTTACCACATAAGTGAAAGGAGTTTTGGAGATTTTCCTCCTATTAAGAGAGTGTTTTTGGGAATTTGAGATCCAATTTGAGCACTGCTTACAGTAAAATTATAGATTTGAGTTCCTTATCTTATTAATAAACGTACTCGAAAGAATAATCATGTTCAACGATGGGTCTGGGGATTGAGCTTTTGACATGAACCATCATATTGCGAAATGAATATTGATGGACTCGGCCTTCGAGTAGGTTACGACTTACTCCTCTCAGACTTAGCGTTAAATGACTTTGGAATTATAAACTGTATGGTTTGGGCAAATTCTTAGTCTAGGTTAGACATGAAGTAATATAGGTGTCTATGAGCTCGTTTACTTATGAATTATGCATACTTGCTCGATTGAAAACGTTCGAAGGCATTGAGGAAAGGAAAAACATTGGAGAATTAGCTTGCTCGACTTCGGTTCTTCGGTTGAGGTAGGTTATGGTTTAATCTATGTGATAGAGAGACTCTTGATAGTCATTGAGTAATATTGTGAAGTTTTTCATGTACTTAATTGTTGTGGTTTGGATGAGTTATATGTTGTTGTAATTGGTCTATAATCCAAAGACCGTGAAATCCATAATCTTGAACTTGTTCTACCAAAGTGATTCCTTAAATAAAGAAGGTCTGATGAAATATTGTTAATGAAGTGAAAAGTGATGGTAACGAAAGATAAATTAACTATATTGTTGGATCGGGTGCCACGAACCGTC